GAGGAAGAGGGAGAGGAGGAGGGAGAGGAGGAGGAGGAGGGTGAAGAGGAGGAGGAGGGATGCCTGCTCTTGCTTGGGGACAGCAGAGCGACGACGGGTGCTACAGCAGACGGCCCCAGATGCGCGTCTCGGTGGTGAACCGCAGAGCTGCCCTAGGCTGGACTAAGAATATGTCGCAGATGACATTTCCCCTTAATGAACTCAAATCAAACGGCCCGTATGCAAGGTGAGTTATTTCTGAGAACTCACTCCTTGAATCACATGCAAAGTGGATGTGAGGAAACCGCTGCCCTGGCCACAGGCCACCCACCCAAACCCACTCTGTTCAGCTCCGGAAAGCAGTGTCCCCAAGCGGAGAAGAGCCACCAGCCGGCTTCCTCCAGGGCCGATGACCCTCTCCCCGGGCCGCCAGGCCAGCAGCCCTGCCTCAGTGACGTCCTGTCAGTAGCCTTGACCCGTTCCCAGCTCCTGCAGAGCCTCAGAGCATCACCTGCCTCAGCCTTTCTCAGTGCTCCCCGCCCCACCCTCCGCGCCGCCCGGCCGCCTCCTGCCTGACCTCTGCCCTGGCGTGGGCTCCCAGCACTGAGCCCTGGCTCTGTTCTGCTCCTGAGATCCAGAGGTAGGAGAGCAGGCCCTTCAAGGCTCACACTCACCTTGCAGCGGCAGGAGAGAGGGCACCTGGGTGCGTCTGCAGGAAACAGCACCCCCCCCAGGTGAGGGCCCAGGGCCAGCAGAGCCGCCCGAGTGGACGTTCTCACAGCATAGCCCACAAGTCCCAGCGGACAGGGCTGATTCCGCCTCACCCAAGACCAACAAGGAGACAACAGTGAAACGGTAACCGTGGTCCAAAGAGCCGTATCGGGAGCCAGTCTCGGTATCTGAGGTCCCTGGATCCGCCTCCACCTTGTGCAGCCTCGATACGTAGTCAGTGATTCGTTTCCACCAACGCAGTTAATGAAGAGCTTGGGGGAGGCGTCTGTTTGCGTTTGTCGCTGTTTTTTTGTAATTAAACTTACTTTGAGAAAAGTGTGAATTCACATCGCAGCTGTACGTAAGAAACAACTGTAGAGACCGTCTGTGCCCTTCACCATTTCCTGTTGGAAACATCACAAGGACTCAAGGTCAACATCGCACCAGGAGAGGGACACGGATGGAGTCAAGATCCAGACGTCCCGGGGCACGAGGACCCGAGGCGCCCCTCACAGCCACCGGCAGCCCCTCAGCTATCCTGACGCGGTGGCGTGCCGAGAGCGTGATCCCGGAACGTGCAGGAGGCGGCCTTCTGTGCCCGGCTTTCGTGCTGCTCCTCGGCTCCCGGGACAGCCTTCCGGTCGCTGCATATAACCGTAGTCAGCTCCTGTACTGGCGACGCCAAACATTCAGGTTCAGGCTTTTCTGTGAACAGTCTTCAATCCACTGGGGTAAACGCCCAGGAGGGCAACTGCCAGGTCACAGAACAGTGACAGGTTTAGTTTTTAAAGAAACTTCCGAACGGTCTCCAGAGCGGCCGCGCCGTCTCACACCCTCAGCGATGCGTGAGGACCCAGCTTCCCTGCCTCTCGCCAGCGCCGGGCGTCTTGGTTTTCACTCCGTTCTGATGGCACCTTGCTCTGACACAGGCTCCCTGAGGCCGGCGAGCAGCACCTTCTCACGCGGCTCTTTGCCGTCTGCACACCCTCCCTGGTGAGATGTCTTTTCACATGTTTTGCTCATTTTCTAATTGGAACGAAACACGCTCGGCCATGGCTGTGTAATTCTTTTCATACGCTGCTGAATTCTGTGAACCTTTCCTGTCTCTCTCCTAAAGCACACGCTAAAAACAGTTGTGAATGAGGACAGCTCTGGAACTGCCGCCCTGCCCAGCGAGGAGGTTCCCCCACAAACAATCTGACCAAGACGCATTTCTAAACTGCTCCGTGTGCCTGTCTCTGTCCATCGTGCATAGCACCCACCTGTCTACCACTGCATCTGCTTTCCGGTCTTGTCTGCACTGTCTCACGTTTGACTCTGAACAGAAACGATTCTGAGGGGAGACAAAGGAAAACGCAGATCAAAAGCTGGAGGCAGAAGTCCTCTGTTCTGAAACGTGAAGACCGAGAGCCCGGCATCTACACACAAACACCCAGACCCTGCGGCCAGCACTGCCGGGTCCTGCGAGGCAGCCGTGGGCGGCAGGTGGTGCGAACACACACCAGCCCGCTCCTGAGAGCCTGGATCCCGCCGGGGCACGAGACGCACCTCTCGGACGGGGGCCGACGGACGGCTGCCTCCACCGTGTGTGCCCGACTCCTCCCCACGACTCCCCCAGCCTCAGGCTTCCCGGGAAAGGCAGAGCCACGCCGGGTGGGGTCTCTCACCAAGAGTGAGGACGGGGTGGGGGATCTCGTGAAAGTAGAACCCCGAGGCTGGCAATTCCTGAGGCTTTAATTAACCGCGAGCCACGAGCACTGGTCTACAAACGGAGGAGGGGAGAGGATCCTTTTTGGCCTCAGCGTGTTTTAACCTTGGAAGAAGGCGGCAAGCTCTCTCCGGTGCCACCGCATCGAACAGCAGGACGAAGGTGTGGATTCCAGAGACCAACCCCTCCCTCCCGGGCACCACAGCGCCCAGCTGCCGGCATCTCGTCGGCAGGAGACCTCGCGCTCTCGAGAGGAGGCGCAGGGAAGAGGGGAGCTCTGAGCTTAATCCTGCACCGAGACGTCAGATTCTCAGGGCAGGAGCTTATGTGGGCGCCGCGCCTAGCACAGGGCCTGGACCCAGTGAGCGGATGTGAACGAGAGGGTGGCTAACTGCCTCCAGGTTCCTAGAAGAAGCCACTTTGAAGGCTCTCGAGAGATGTTGAAAGCCTCATT